TATAGTATGTAATATTCATAGCTTCAACCCAAAACTGCCATGGCAATTGCTTAGCATGAAACATGACTCTAGCTGATTCTTGTATAGCCCTAGTCTTTTTCTCAACAATTCCATCTTGATTAGAAGTGGTGGAAAAAGAAAATTCATAATTGATACCTTCAGAAGCACAAAATTCAGAGAATTTAGCATTCTTAAACTCATTGTCATATTGAGTTCTAATCTTGACAACCATACTATTTTGCTCCTCTTGAACCCTTTGACCTGGATCTTTGAAGACTTCAAATATGTCATATTTTTTTCTAAGAAAGTTCACCCAAGTATTCCCTGAAAAATCATCTAACCACATAGACATACATTTTTCCACCCAAGCTTTCTACCTGCATTGGTCCCATTAAATCCATGTGAAGAAGTTCCAACACTTTGGAAGTAGTCTGATGTTGCAAAATTGGGTGTGACATCATGGTTTGCTTTCTAATTTGACACTCACCACAAACTTTCCCTTCTCTAATCTTAAGTTTTGGAATTCCTCTAATATCTCCTTCAGATATAATTTCCTTTATTCTTTTGAAAAGAAGTGTCCAAGTTTTCATTGCCATAGCTTTACTTCATCCTCCTTGGTGTTTAAACATGTGGAAGAATAAGCAGTTATTTGAGGTTCCCACAAATAACAATTGTCTTTATACCTTATGCCCTTCACCAGAATAACATCTTTCTTATCTTTGACCAGGCATTCTGATTTTCAGAAATTTACTAACAGTCCTTGGTCACGCAACTGACTAATGCTAATAAGATTAGCAGTAATTCCTTTCACAAGAAGAAAATATTCTAAACTAGGTGATCCAACACACATCAATTTTCCAACTCCTTTAATTTCCCATTTAAATCTATCATCAAATCTGAAAGAACATGTGGGATGAGATTTAATGTCTACTAGCAATTTATGATCCCCTGTCATATGTCTAGAACATCCATTATTAAAATACCAGTCTCCTATAGTTGAAGCTCTTAAAGAAGTATGAGCAATAATATTAACATCTCTATCCTTAACACTTCTCTTTTTGCTCACTTGATTAGCCTTAGAATGATATGAAGATTTTTTATCTCCATACAATTTATAATAAAAAGGATTTGAATGACCATACTCACCATAATAATGGCATTTCCAAGACGAGGATTGGAATTCAGTTGAAGGTACATAATGTCTACCAGGATGTTGTGACATGTGGGTGGACATGTTGATTATTCTTTTCTTTTTAGAAGGAAAGAAATTTTCTATAGATCTTCTCTTTTGTCGATTATTAAATGAATGACTAACCTCTGTATCTTCGGCCTCTTTTATCTTATCAACTCCATTTTTCATTCTTCTCAAAGAATATGTCATGTTATTAAGCCTAGAATTTAAAAAGAGTTACCTCACTTTGAATATGAGAAACAGTACATAGAAGCTTCTTCTTTTCATTCTCCAATTCACCTATGATTTTTCTATAATTTTCCTCTGTCTTAAGATTTTCCTCACTCTTGTCACAAGTATCCTTGTAGGACACATCCACATCTTTATAGAGGATATTTTTATCACATGATTCAACTTCATTCGCCCATTTTCCAGAGATAGCATTCACAGATTTGATAGTCTCAGTGTTAGATTCATCTTCTGAATCATCATCAGAATAAGATACAATAAAGTCCTTTTTATGATTCTTGAGAAATGTGGGACATTTGGCCTAATGTGACCAAAACCTTCACACTCATAACATTGAATGCCTTTGCTTTTCTTGGACTTCTCCTAAATTCTGGTATTTTTCTTAAAATCATCATCATTACTGATGTCAGATGAGATGTTCCTGACATTTGGTCTTCCTCTTCTGTCTATTCTTTTCAGAATTATATTGAATTGATTTCCAAGTAATACAATGGTATTTGACAACCCTTCCTCAGTGTCCAAATCTAATTTACTTTCTTTATCTTCATAATTAGATACAAAAGCTATGCTTTTATTCTTTTTATCAGACTTGTCACTAATAGTCAATTCAAAAGTTTAAAGTGACCCAACAAGTTCATCAACCCTCGTGTTGCTGATGTCATGAGCTCCTTCAATGGTTGTCACATTCATATCAAATCTCTTAGGTAGAGACCTGAGCATCTTTCTGACAAGCTTCTCTTCTGACATCTTCTCTCCCAAAGCACTAGATGCATTTGCTATTTCAATAACATTCATGTGAAAGTATTGAATTCTTTCATCGTCATTCATCTTTAGATTCTAAAACATGGTAGTGAGAAGTTGAAGTTTGGACATCTTCACTTTGGATGTACCTTCATGAGTTTTCTTGAGAATTTCTCAAGAATCTTTAGCTACAGTACATGAATTTATTAACCGTAAAACATTCTTGTTAACTCCAATGAATAGAGCATCCAAGGCTTTGGAATTTCAAAGAGATAATTATATTACTCTTTAGACCTATCTTTTTATGGCTTCAAGGACTCATTCCCAACTTTGTTATTCACAACAGGATGATTCCATCCTTTCAACACAACCTTCACAAATTTGATGTCCATGGATTTCAAAAAAGCTACCATTCTAACCTTCCAATAGTCATAATTTGGTCCTTCTAGCAGAGGTTGTCTGTTATTGTATCCTCCATCCTTATCCATAGTAACATAAATTATTATCCTTGGAGCTCACCCAAACATAGAACATGATGCATGCTTTGATGCCAATTAAAATTCCCGCACTATAAAAAAAGATGTCATGATTGATGTCTCAACACCAAAACACAATGTCAAGACAATTGTTATGACATCATCTGCTGGCAGAATACACTTTTACCAAAATAATAATTATGCAGAAGATAAAATAGACAATCAATTGTTAACCCAGTTCAGTGCAACATCACTTACTCTAGGGTCTACCAAGCCAGGAAGGAAATTCATTATGATATTATTAGTTAAAAGATAAACAACCCTAATTTACAATTTATCACCTATTAATTACCTTATGCTAATTCTACCTAGAAACCCTCTAGATATGAGATCTCCCTATCACTTTCCACAATCACCTCTGTGATAAAACTTGTGACAAGAGCCAAAACATAATATTACACTTCCAATAAACAATACTCAACTCTTAGCTTAAAAGCTCATGAGTGAGAACAATAACTTGACACACAATCAACTCTTTGCTAAAAAGCTCATGAGTGATAGGAAAGTAACAATAAACAATCAGTCTACCACAATGTATCAAAAGATACATGGGTGACACAAAAAAACAAACAAGCACCTAAAGTACTCTCAAAAATTTAAACTCTTATATCTACTCACGGTTTCTTGTAGTGAATGATTTCTATTTTAGGTTTAGCAAGTCCTTGTTTATAGACTCTTGAAGAACGGGCTTGGACTCTTCAATCAAATTCAATCATCTATTTTTAAATTAGCTTAAGATCTTAAACAAAAATAGGAATCAATCTTCAAAGTTTCATAAAAAGTCTCAAATATCTTTTTTATGAAATCAAATCTAAGACATTACTATAGTTAATGTTTACTTTTGAAGCTTATAATGTGGATATATAAACCATTATGACTTCCTATTTTATACACATGGATGGTAAATTGTATCGATTTTAACTGTCGTAATCTGCCAAAATAACTATCGTAATCTGCCAGTTTTCTTGTAGTATCTGCAAGAATAAGAAATTTTAATAAGACATCCTATTAACTAAATTATTTTTATTTCTCACTCATGAAAAGGTATCACATATAATGTTATTGTTCTCACAGAAGTATCATTACACTCTATGAGATATCATAGTCTCCAAAAATATTCATTGAATCTTAAGGGAGATCATCCCACCCTAAAAATATCAATATTTCTAATTGGAGGGTATATTCATAAATAATATGGTCTAAAGCTTAGAAAAACACATGAGTAACAAAATGTGAAATCATTCACCAAATTTCGAGCCCCATTTAGGTTGAAAAATTGTTTTGTGAACTAATCAAGAAGGTATTTAGGCATAAAAAAAGTATACTGAAATGATAGAATCATTATAACAACACATTTTCATAACTTAAACATTGCCCTTCGACCCCATATGTGCAATAAAACCCCCAAACAAGTGATACCACTCTTGAAAGTATTAAAAAAAAGTAGAAATTTTTCTAGAGAAACATGTGGTCAAGCCGAAAGAGTACATCAAGTAGGTGAAGCAAATGATTAGATTAGAATATCAAATGGATGAGGCTACATGTCATATGACAAGAAAGTCTAGACAAACTACGATGACTAGTCTAACACCATCAACGTAGTTTGCATGAGGTTAAGGTGAGTTTAATGAAAACTGCTCAAATAAGTTATTATATATCAATTATTTTGATTTCAATTTAACTCATTAGAATATTATAAAAATTTAGTCTTTCATTTAAATTTTTTATCAATATAAAAATTATTATTTTTCTGTTATTTTTATGATTAAATAATAATAGAATTTGGTTTTTTACGGTATAATTAGAACAATTTCTTATTTTTAGTGAACCAAACAAGATTATAATAAAGATAATAACATATAAATCATATGTAATAATACTAGGATAGTTGAACTCTAAGGATTCTAGAGTCTTAACGTATCCTCTTTTATAAGGTTTAAGAGTTGGATGTCACTCATTAACCTTTACTCCCTTATTTACTTTAAGCATAAACGCATTGAATTAATAAAATATAATTGCACATTCCATAGAAGTTATACAAACAACTACTAAAGTTTAAAAAACTAAAGAGACACCAATATTCAATAGGTTTATTTCAAAATACAAAAATCTACCTCATAGAAACAATAACTTATTTATTACACAAACAAGGCCTTACTTAATACATAGATAGAATAAACTCTCACGATACATAGAAATTTAAAATATACGAACAACATGGAAAATAATGGAAATAACATAGACATTAGCAAACAAAGACATGATCTAGTTTCGAGTATTTTTTAATCATTCATCAAGATAAACTAGTTTGGAGTCAAGGGGGATTTTTCTTTCTCTCGGATATCTTTCAACCATCCATCAATGTAAATTTGATTGGAGTGAGAGGCGGATTTTGCTTTCTCTGTCCGAGTATCTTTCAACCATCCATCAAGGTAAACTTGGTTGGAGTTAGAGGTGGATTTTACTTTCGCTGCTCGAGTGTCTTTCAACCATCCATCTAGGTAAACTTGGTTGGAGTCAGCAGTGGATTTTGCTTTCTCATCTCGGATATCTTTCAACCATCCATCAAGGTAAACTTGGTTAGAATTAGGCGCAAACTTTGTTTTCTCGACTTTGATATTTTTCAACCATCCATCAAGATAAACTTGGTTGGAGTCAGCGGTAGATTTTGCATTCTCAGCTCGGGTATCTTTCAACCATCCATCAAGGTAAACTTGGTTGGAGTCAGAGGTGGATTTTTCTTTCTTTGCTCGAGTATCTTTCAACCATCCGTCAAGGTAAACTTGGTTTAAGTCAGAAGTGGATTTTGCTTTCTCTGTTCGGGTATCTTTCAACCATCCATCAAGGTAAACTTGGTTAGACTTAGGCATGGACTTTGATTTCTCAGCTCGAATATCTTTCAACCATCCATCAAGATAAACTTGGTTGGAGTCAGCGATAGGTTTTGATTTCTCAGCTCGGGTATCTTTTAACCATCCATCAAGGTAAACTTGGTTGGAGTCAGAGGTAGATTTTGCTTTTTGTGCTCGGGTATCTTTCAACCATCCATCAAGGTAAACTTGTTTGGAGTCAGATGTGGATTTTTCTTTTTCTGCTCGGGTATCTTTCAACCATCCATCAAGGTAAACTTGGTTGGAGTCAGAGGTGGATTTTGCTTTCTTTGCTCGAGTATCTTTCAACCATCCATCAAGGTAAACTTGGTTAGAGTTAGGCATAGACTTTACTTTCTCAGCTCTGATATCTTTCAACCATCCATCAATATAAACTAGGTCGGAATCAATTGTAGATTTTGCTTTCTCAACTCGGGTATCTTTCAACCATCCATCAAGGTAAACTTGGTTGGAGTCAGTGGTAGATTTTACTTTCTCTGCTTGGATATCTTTCAACCACCCATCAAGGTAAACTTGATTGGAGTCAGAGATGGATTTATCTCTCTCCGATCGGGTATCTTTCAGCCATCCATCAAGATAAACTTGATTAGAGTTAGGATTGAGTTTTTGATTCTTCAATGAATTTTTAACCCAACCATCAAGATAAGGCTGATCAACTTGTTTTTCTTCTACACTCTCTTGCTGAAATTTGATATATCTAGCATAGCTTTCATGTCCATTCTACGGTACAATTGAATAAATGAATATTAATAATTAGAGAATATTAATAATTAGAGAGGAGAAATTTTTTAAATTTCATTGCAGTAAGAAAAACATTATTTTATCTAATCAAATAGAACAATTTGATTGTGATTGAGAGTGATAAATGCAAATATAGATGAGAAATGATATATTATGATAAACAAGTGATGAAAATACAAATTTAAAAGATAAAAAAAAGTTAGTAACTTACTATCAACAGAAGCAGGACAAAAGGGAGGAGAGACAAAACAATTTTATGTGCCATTTCTTTTTCTTATGTTATTGTAAAAGATGCCATTGTGAAGGACTATTTATAAGTGAATGAGAAGGGAAAAACAAATAATAAGGACATTGAGGATTTGTTTGGCAAAATCCTTTTTTAAAAATTATTATTTATAAGTGAATGAGAAGGGAAAAACAAATAATAAGGACATTGAGGATTTGTTTGGCAAAATCCTTTTTTAAAAATTATAGTTTATATTTATACATTACTTATAAGTAAATAAAAAAAGAATAAATAACAAGAACATTGAGACTTTGATTGGCTAGATTATTTTTTTTAAAATTTTGTTTATATATATTTATAATTTATAAGTTTATACGTCTGAAAAAATCTTTTTAGTAAGAGTTATTTTATTCACAATTTTTGGGTGTTTTAGTTTTGATTTTTTCAAATATTAAAATAAAAGAGAATTTTTTTAACACCTGATACTCTTCTTATTGATCTCTAACAAAAAACTTAAAATATCTTAGAATTTAGATATACATATTCGAATATATCTCATTTTTTATAAAAAAATTGGTTTTAAATATGCATTTCCAATACACCTCATTTATTACTAAAAAAATAATTTCGGATAGGCATATTCGAATAAAAAAAAAAGTTATAAACTCAATTGTCAAAATATTACTATTAATTAATTTTGTTAAATTAACCTATAATTAATATATATAATAATAATAATATAATAATGTTGGAATAGAAGTAACCTATACTATGTAGTTTATGTTCAGAAGTAGGTGGAGTCCAAATCCTAGCTTCTTAGATTTTGTGCAAGAACATAAGTCATGTCTTGTTTATTGTAAGCTTATAATTTTCTGCTACCAACTGCTAGGAATTCACTACATGCCAACAATGAATACAAAATAGTCTCACATGAAATACTAAAATACTGTGAAGAGGCTTGCATGCTTAAGTTAAGCTCACATGCAGGACTTGCATGCTTATGTAGTTAAGCAGTAAAAAAATTATAGTTATTCAAAAAGCAATGTAGTTAGAGTAAAAAAAGTTACAGCCCATTATATAAATACACTGCAGTATTTTTTTAAATATGGTAAAGGTGAAGAAGTTATGTGACAGTAAAAACATAAATACTCTTCTTGTCAAATGTTTGAGGTAGTAATAATAAAAGAGCATAGATGGAATATATCCCTAACAAACAACTAGTCGTTCTGTCTCATGAAAATGTTATTTAAGAAATAAGGAAGATTTAAAAAAATTAAATGTATTAATTGCAGTCCTAAATAAGTTTTAAGAAAAATTAACAAATAGGTGACTTTTGAAAGTGGATCATAAATAATAGACTAATAGATTTTGTGCTTCTCATTTATTTTTATTTAGTTTGTGTATTGTTTTTATATTTTTTTTTATATTGAAGGCGTTAAAAAATAATAAATTTAATAATTTTTTGAATACAAATATTTGTCCTTGTATAATTTTGAAAATTAATATAATTAATATATTCTCATTCTTTTCATTTTTATTTGAACCAGTTAAATTTGAATCAAACTTTTGTTAAGTACAAAGTTGAAGATGAAGATGAAGATGGTAGAAAAGTGATTTTACTGATTGATCAGAATCTGAAGTGGATCAGAGACTTCGACTTCAATGCTGAAATAGAGGAGGATGGGGTGTACCGACAAGGCACTCCGATGCTAAAGTCAAATGAGAGCACAAAGAGATACAAGATTGAAAGTCTAGGGTTTTAGAAGTATGTGATGAACATTGAATACCTATCCTTCACATGTGTAAGAGTTTATATAATGCCCCCGGCGCTTGGTCATTGGTCCCTATTTTTAGGCCTAGATATGCGGGTCCGCAAAAATAGGTAATTGTCAGGATTTGGTTAAAACGGACAGTCGTGCTCGTAATTAGCCTTTGCTCTGAGCAGGAGAGGGATCACGGGAAGATGCATTTTGGACGTTTCCTGGTTGTCTGCTCAACTCATGTCTGGCAGACGTGGAGGAAGCTGCTGTCGCGAGAAGATACGTCTTGGACATTCCCTGGTTGTCTGCTCCATGCGTGTCGAGCAGACCTGGAGGTGGCCGATGTGGGAAGGCATAAGGATGTCAGGAATTAGTCGTAACAGACATAGATGCTGGTCATTACGACGGGCAGAGAAGTGCTCACGGATAAGCGTGATTCTTGCCATTCCTGAATCACTGTCCTAGTGTGGCTGGCAGGATGAGGACTAGCCAGTTTGAGCGGGAAGTTGTGGTCTTGTTGATCCTGGAGGGACAACCGACCACGTTTCCCCGGCTGATGGCAGAAGTAGCTGCAGAGGGAAGTGGTGGTCCCATTGGTCCCGGGGGGACAACCGACCACATGTCCTCGACCGGGGAGAAGAAGTACTACTGAGGGCAGATGTGGTCTCTTTGGTCCTTAGGGGACAACCGACTACGTGTCCCCGGCTAAGGGGGAGAAGTGTTGCTGCGAGAAGATGTGGTCTCTTTGGTCCTTGGGGGGGCAACCGACCACGTGTCCCCAGCTGAGGAGTAGAAGGGAAAGGTGTCCTTTGCCTATGCATTTGGCCAGATCAGAACAGGAGCCTCCCAAGTCGTTGCTTCTAGGCATATGAGTGATAAATTAGAGCCAGCCCATGCGCCGAGGAGGAAAACACGTTGTTGGCGCTTGTTGTTCGCGACGAGGATGTTTCATGATCTTTACGAGGACATGCTCGTAGGTGATATATTGTTATTTATTAGGTTTATGCATGTTTGTATGCTTGTTTCCTGAGACATTTTATTTTGATTAAGAGTTTCGAGGGTTTGCTCGTTAGTATTTGAGTCCGCCAGTATGGGTGAATGGTCAAACAGTCAGGGTGATCACCTAGCATGGGCCGGAACTAAGGTCTCGTTTTGAGGGCCCGAGCTCGGCGGCGTGAACTTCCCATCGCGAGCTGGGTGTTCTGCCATCGTGGTACGACAATGGTGAATCTCGTTTGAGTTTTCCACGTCGGGCTAAGATTCTACTCGTTAAAAGAGTGGAGACTTGCCTATTTGTTTAATTTGGAGTGCCATGCTTGTACCTGGGCATGCACATATGGTCGGGAAAACTGTGTTTGTTGTTTCGACGAGACACGACGACTGCATCAGTGCCTTAATTATAAAATTTCCTTAGTTTTTTGGTAATCCGAGGTCGAGCAAATTATCCCCTGTGCAGGTTTTTGAGACAATATGCTCTATTTCTATTTTTTCTCGGATGCGATAGTATCTCTTGGATGACAGACTTGTTCCGCCTTTCTTCTTCGTGCTCGTAAGTTTAGATAGGATGTCTACTCGGGTGTTGCATTCATGGGGAACGTATGCCTATTATGCTGGTGTGTTTGCGGGGAACATATGTCTTCTAGGCTGGTGTGCTTACAGGTAGAGGATGCCTACCAGGATGGTGTGCTCGCGGGGAGCAGATGCCTACCAGGCTGGTGTGCTCATGGCGAGTAGATGCCGACCAAGCTGATGTGCTCGCAGGGAGCGGATGCCTTCCAGGATGGTGTGCTCGCAGGGAGTGGATATCGGCCAGGCTGGTGTTCTCGTGGGGAGCGGATGTCTGCTAGGCTGGTGTGCTCGCATGGGAACGGATGCCTGCCAGGCTGGTGTGCTCGTGGGGAGCGGATGCCTTCCAGGCTGGTGTCCTCGCGGGGAGCGGATGCCTGCCAGGCTGGTGTGCTCGTGGGAAGAGGATACATGACAGACTGGTGTGCTCACAGGGAGCGGATGCCTTCTCAGTTGATGTGTTCGCTGAAATGGTTTGTTTATGCGCTCCACTTGTCGAGGAGGATGGTGAGGTCATTTCTGATGTGATGCCGATCATTATTGGCGGTCACTTTCTCCTCGTACTGTATGTACGCCTGGGCTTTGAGGAGGAGGGCGTCTAATGTGGTTGGTGTTTCTATGCCAACTGCTTTAGCAAAATCGATGCGGGGGCGCAACCCTTGCTTGAGCAAGTACTTTTTCATATCATCAGTCGTGGAGACCTGAACAGATTCTTTGTTGAACCTCTTGATGTATGCTTAGAGAGATTCTTCTTTTCCTTGTACGATCGCTTATAGCGAGGCCTCCGTCTTTGGATGACGGCAAGAGGAAGTGAAGTGACTTAAGAACATATTCCCCAACTGCTTCTATAAGTTGATGGATTCATTAGGGAGGCTTTTGTACCAAGACATTTCCCCTTTTCTCAGAGTTGTTGGAAATAGTCTGCACTTGATGGCACACCTGACACCACAGTAGTCGAGCAAGGCATCAATGTTCTCAATGTGATCGTCAAGATCAGTTGTCCCATCATATATTCCCAAGTTTTATGGTTTTTCTATTCCGGCGGGGAGGGAAGCAGTTGTACCCCAAAAGTTTCCCTCCTATTTTTAAGACAAATTAATTCAAGATACCTCCTCATGCATATGAAGGTCTCAAACACTCAAGACTACTCAAGGGTTGACCAGACAAACTTTCCTCCTAAGCAATTGACCTACAACTAGGGTTTTGCTTTTCTCAAAGGAAATTGGATTTCTAATTCCTCAAATGGACTTCATGGTTTGCCATATGCCTCAAGGTACCCTCATACCAAATTGCAAAGCCTTGCATCACAAGTTTGCTCAGTCAATTAGCCAGATAATTGAAAATCAAATGTATTAGATAAAAAGTCAACATTGACCAATTTACAGTCAAACTTCAAGATTTTTGGTCAACATTAACATTTTTATATCATATTCATCATTTGATCAAGGGTTGATCATGATTCATCAAGAAAACTCAAGATTCATCAAAAGTCAAAAGTTACTAAATTAGGGTTTTCTTAAGGTAAAGTCAACTGAACTTTGACCAAGTATAACTTTTATATACTTCATCAGAAATTCCTCAACCAAACTTATATTGAAGGAAATTCAATTCTCTACAACTTTATCTCTCTAAGCTCAAGGCCAAAAATGCTTCATCTGAGAGATATGAGCCAAAATATTACAGGTCATTTTAAAAGTCAACAAAAAGAAAATT